CCCCCCCCGCTGAACTCCCTGCACTTGGAACTTTGTCAGACTCATAGAGGTGCTCCATAACTATTGATTGAACAAATGAATGAGTGACTGAATGGCTTCCTCTGTGCCTCCTTTTCTTCAGAAGGTAGTGAAGATTAAATAAGAACATGGATGTAAGGTTCAATTACCGCACCGCAGGTAATTGTGTGATGAAGTCACACACCTAGATGGAGGTAGAGCTCACACTTGAACCTGGGCTGTGTGACTCAAACCCCTGATGCAAAGTCTCTACACTCCTCTCTGCCTCCTGTCTATGCCACCCAATAAGGTTGTGCAGCTCCTGCTGGGATGCTTCCATGGATGGCAGGCTCACCCTCCACTGCGCCAAGCAGAGTGTCAGGGTCTGAGAAGCACTAAATGTTTCTGTCCCAGCCCCTCACAGACATCCTTGTCCTGGATGCCGGGAAGCTCTCTGCAGCAGGTGGAGTTCAGACAGGACTTGGGACTGGCCAGGATCACACAGCTGGTGCTGCAGCCAAACTTGAACTTAGGACCTAGGACTCCTTGTGCTTACCCTGCAGTTGGGAAGAAGAGACAAAGAGAAGACAGAGTCTGGGAATAGTGGGTGTTGGGGTGAAGGCACTGGGCTTGTCCCTGAAGGGCTGGGGTGAGGGGCAGGTTTGAAGGGCTCAGTCCAGGGCCGGTGTAGAGTGAGCTGGTGCCTGCTCCCTCTCCAGCTCCTCCTTCTGGCCTTGGCCTCCTTTTATCCATCGGGGGCCAGGGAAGGCTTGACCCTTGGTCTTGCAGATTCGGTGGGACCCACCCTTTCCACAGGGAGCCCCATCCCTGGAGAGCCTGGTGTGATGAGATAAACACTCGGCCCAAGTTCAAATTCCCCATCTTGCCCCACCTCACCCCACTTCACCCCACCAGGGAGGCTGAGCCCTTCAAGTGCTTTCTGAACCTGAGCATTGATTGAGGCTCAGGGGCACTCACTCAGAGGAGGGGTGAAATACCTAACCAGCCCCTAAGGCCCCACAGCTTGCTGTGGGAGTGGGTCCTGCAGACCACCAAGACCTGGGTGCCAGCCCCAGTTCTGTCCCCAAGATGCTCTGTGACCCAGTTTCTCCTCCCCTCAGGGCTGGTGTAAAGGCCTGTCCTGTCCAAATGTCACTGGTCACCTCAGGGGGTTCTCAGGGCAGGGTAGGAGGGGCCAGCAATGCCCCTTTTTTTCTTTCCACTTCTGTGGACACCCCCAGGCCACACCTGGATTCCTGGGGCCAACTCCCCTCTGTGTCCATTCCCTTCCCATGGCTACCCACCCTGTAACAGTTGGTGAGGCTGGGCCTGGCATGCTGGCCTGGAGCTTCTCTGCAGCTGGGCTGCCATGCACAGGATCTTAGCTTGGAGTGGAAGAACTGGGTTCAAATCCCTGCTCTGCCCTGCAGGCTAAGAGGGCATGGGCAAATCACTTACCTGCCCTAAGCCTCTTCAAGGTAGCTGATAATCTCAACCTCTGGTGGTTGGGGCTGAGAGCCCAGTGCTGCTCAGGCCCACTTCTCAGCCCTAGCTCCCTTGCCTGAACCTTTCTCGGGCTGGGTGTGTCCACCACTTCCCGTCCCTCCAGCATCGGGCTGTCCCAGCCCTCCTCCACCAGAGTGAGGCTAAGGGTGCTTTTAGTGCCTCCCTGAGGCAGAGGCCCTGGGGAGGGTCCTGAAGGCAGTGACCACTCCTTAATCAAGGCCCCCCTTCCACCATTACTGCTTGCTGAGAATCCCATTACCATCACCAGTGTCTGAGGAGGAAGGATTAATGGGGGCTGCCTGGCCTCAGGGGACATGGGGGTGGGGAGGGGGAGAGACTGAGGTCCAGAAAACAGGCTCCTATCCTGTTTTCCAAGGAGCTAATGCCCAGCGCATCTATGAAGTCCTGTGCCAAGGTCTAGGGACACAGCTCAGGCCTCCCCAAGCTTCAGTCCTGGCACTGGCTGGCGGGGGCCCCTGCCCTAAGCTGACCTATGCCCTTTTCCTGTTTCCTCCTGGCTCCTCCTTCCTCCCTGATGCCCCCACCACCCTACCACCTGCCTTCCATCTACTCCTTAGATGGTAAGCTGCATGTAGCCAGGGGTCATCTCTCCCATCCATTCACTTATTTAATCCTCCTCATCCTCCAGCTCCTGGACAAGGTGACTGAGGCCCAGAGAGACCAGCTTCTGCTGGTAGCAAGAGCGAGAGTGGGCTTGAACCCAGGCCTATGGGAGTAGAGGCCGATTCCCACCCCACATGGCTCTGTTCCCCCAGTGCGGTCTGTGGTCCCTGTGGGTCTTTGGTCTGGCTCTGCTGTACTGGAGAAAGAGGACGAGGATGGCAGGTCTTACCCCCTTTCTTTGTCTCCTCAAGGGCAGGGAGTTGAGGCAGGAAGGGAGCTGGCCCTGAAGTCAGAGGGCTGAAATCACCTCTGAAGCTGTGTGACCTTGGGCAAGTCCCTTCGCCTCTCTAGGCCTCAAGTGGAAATAATAATCCACCCCACAGGGCCAAGGCAGAAGGCGAAATTCCCTAGGTTAGAGTTGGTGCCCAATATGGTGGAAATTTGAGGATAGCCAGTGGCAGGCCAAGCTACCCTGGGGGTCTGAGCACCCCAGGGCAGAGGGGGCCTGCAGAGCCTGCTCCTCCCTGGCTGACCCCTCCTCCCCCAGAACCAGCTCTGCTCTTTCTGGGTTTCTAGGTGACTTGGCTGGCCCCTCTGGATGAGTTCTACTTTAAACCTGCTGTCGCTACTGCCTCTGTATTGAGGGGGCTCCCACTGGGGCCCCCAGGCAGGAGCCCCCCCAGCCAAGCCCTGCGGGAGGGGTTGCATCCCCCACCCATTCCGACCGTGCCCATGTGCTTTCCCCTCCTCCTGTCCCTGGAACACAGATTTCAGGGCATCTGCTGTGGGCCTGGCACTGCGGAGCCCCACCTCAAGCCTCATTGTTCTGGACACCTAGAAGGCTTCTGACCCTCTGGGCAAACGACGAGCATCCCCTGTGCAGTTTCCAGCCTGAGGCCCACAGGGACAGGCTTCAGATTCGGTCCGGAGGGGTCTGTGGCACGTGAATGGGGCTGTTCCCGGGTGCACCCTGGAAGGTTAGGACGCCTGGGTCCTCGGAGGTGGCAGGCGCCCGGCCTCCCTGGGCCAGGGAGGGGGGAGGGCGCTGCCGACAGGAGACCCATTAGCCGGCTAAGTGCTTCCAGGGAGGGGACCGCGCGTCAGCCAGAGGGGTGAGGCGAAGTGAGGGCACAGAAAGGGGTGGGAGTGGCTTTTCCTGCACTTAGCTAAGTGCCGCGGGATTGGGGCAGGGGGCAGAGCTCTGTGCCCCCTAGCCCCCCTCAAGTCCTGCCCTCCAGTAGTACTCCCGGTCTGTCCCTCAGAAAGTTAGTGGGCAGACCATGGGCGCCTTCAGCAGCGCCTTCTACACGCAGTCCCCAGCTGCGCCTCCAGCAGCCATCGTGGCCCCAAGTCTCTCCACCCCGGGCCCTGGGCCCGAAACTGAGCCCCCAGCCAAGTCCCCCGCCTGGTGCGCCCCTGCCCCCAGCCCCTCTCTGTCTGCTGTGGCAGCCCGGCCGCCAGGGGGAGCCCGTGCGGGGCGGGC